TAAAATATAAATTAATTTAATAATTTATTTTATTTTTACATTTGTACAAGTATATACATTTCAAATAAAATATACTTTCGCATAAAGTAATTAATATTTATTTTACAACTAATATTTAATTTATTTCATAATGGTATGTTAGATATGTTATTAAATATATAAATTTAATTTACAATATTATAATTCAATATTTATTTCAATAAATATTTTATATGTATTACCTTGAGTACATTGTACGTTACATAATTATTAGACTTGGACTTTCTGTTAATTAAAAATTACAAACTATACGTAAATAAGTTCTTGACATATGAGAAATAAAATAACCGCAAAATCAACTAATTAGTGCAAGTTACATATCCCATGTATATACATCCATCCATATATATCGCATACACAATATAGAATCTAAACTGTCAAGAAGTTAACCTCAAATTTGACAAAAAAGTAAAGTAAAATAAAGAAGGCACGATTTATGTATATAACTGACTTACATTTAAAACTTATAATTATAAGAAATTAAAGAATAATATAAAGTCACATTGTTAAAATTAGCTAGTAAGTAATTTAATTTCTTATTCTTTATTCTTTTTTTTATGATAAAAAATATTAGTGTAATATATCTTACGTGTTGTACTATTTATTATTAATTGTATATGTTATAATTCTTGTTACATTAATATGAATAATAAATTATTTTTTTAAAGTTATACAATTTTTACTAATTTATGGTAATACAAGACAAAATTTTAGAAATTCATGTTTAATTGCATTTTTCAACTCTTAAAATTATCCGTTTAACTTCATATTTTTAACCATTACAGTCTCACTTTTTACAAAGACAAAAAAGTTGTATAACTTTTACCTTCTTTATGATAATAAATATAAAACATTTGATGAAAAAGAATAATAGATTAATTTACATTGCTATAAACCTCAGCTATTTATACATAATGTTACTTATGTTTGGTAATTGAAATAAAAATTTCAGAGATGAGTCTTGATGATATTAATATACTTGCAGAAGAAATTAAAAATACACATAAACTTTCTAAAGAAGATAGAATTGTAATGTATTTAATAATTAAATTTTTTTTATAAATAAATGTTAGACTAAATGAAAATAATTACATAAGTTTTCTTTTATTGCAGTATTTAAAAAACATATATATAAAATTAAAAAATCCAGTATTACCACAACATGAAATTGAAGTCTGTGCTGGATCTCGTTCTCCATCACATGTAGAAATAGAGAAATTTGAACAAATAATACCTATTAAAAGAGGATGTTATAATTCAGCAGAGGATAAAATAATTACTAGAAACTGGAAAGAATTTTGTAAGGTTTGTTTATTTAATAAGCTTTTAATATAGATATATTCTTGTTTAACTTTTTGTTATAATCAAATTAATAATATTTCATTATTACTGTACAGTTGCATAGGTGGGATCCTAAAAAATGTGAACCATTTTTACTTTTAAGAGACAAAAATAAACCACGTATTCGTAGTAAGAAGGAAAGAAAGAAATTCGTGCAGTTTTTAGCAGATGGTTTGCCAAACAGAACTTTATACAGTGTATATCACAGATTTAGAAATTTGTATGCAGGCCACTTTCAGAGAAGGTAACATATACAATGGAGAACATCTTATGTATTTATCTTACATATGAATATTTAATTAATATATAGTCTTATCTTTTTATATAACAGATTTTCTATTCTATTTATTTTATGTAATATTCACATTTTATTTAGAAAAAAATAAAATATATGTAATAGTTATATAGTTTTATGTGATTACATATTTTTATGTAATTAAAAATAGTATAGATTAGATTTAAATCTTACAAAATTTATTCTGCATATTTAATGATATAATACTTTACTTTAATATGTTTATTATAAAAAGGTTTTATCCAGAAGAAGATAAAATGATTTTGGATCACTTAGAACATAATGAAAATCTTGATCAGAAGAGAAAATATACAGACTTAGCAAAAGTTCTAAAACGAAGTCGAATTTCTATTTGGCGCCGTTACAAAATACTCAAGAAAAAACGTCAAAAACAGAAAAAATAAATTTTTGTAATATTTATATTAGGTTTGTATAATGCTTGTATGTTAATTATTACATTATTTTGCTAATTTAATTTCATTTTACTGTGTTATATTCAATTACTTAGTAAATAAGCAACATACTTCTTGTTAATTTTATGTTATTATTAATAAGAAAATCATAATATATATAATAAATATTTATAATTTTAACAAATGTGTATTATATCCATATTTACCAAATCATTAAAATTTGTTTCTTTCATTAAATAAAATTCGATATTAGTTGATTTAAGATTTATTAACATGGCTAATAAGAATGCTTAATTAATTTTGTATTTTACAAAAAAGAAATTTTGATATAATAATATACAAATTTAAAAAACAAATGAATTTTTTTAAATTTTCATTATTTATATGTTTTGATGGCACAATATATCATTATTTATATGCTTCAAATGCAATGATTATAAGCATTATAAGCATTATAAGTATTATAAATACATAAAATAAATCTTAAACACATAAAACTTATAATTATTTTATATATATTATTGAATAACTTAAAATTAGTATTAAATAAACTGTTGCATTATTTAAATACAAAAAAGTACATGTATAAAGATCTGATAATATATATATAATATATATGTCTAAATTGTTTGTATTCAATAAAGGTTTTAATGTCTACCTTGTAAAATTGATGTATTATTATTACATAAATATACACAGTAAATATAAAATTAAATAAGTAATACAGATTTAATAAACAAAGTATAAGTAATTTATACTGGTGAATTTCTAATTTAAATTTTACTTACTTTAACTTTGAGTTGCAAATACTAGCCGTCAATTTATACATGTTTTACAACTGTATAAAATCGAAAAAATATATGATTGATTTAAAAATTCTGGCTTATTTTTTTAATATAAGAATTTTTAGATGTATTTTTTTATATGATGAATGCAGTAAATATATATATATATATAACATGAATAATAAAATATTTAAAATAATACAAATATATAATACACACACAAGTATAGATAAAGAAATAGGTTTTGTTTTTTGTATAAAACTATAATACTGCCAATATCAGTGTTATAAATCTCAATTCAACTTTGTAAATAAAAGAAAAAGAATATATTTAAATGACAAAATATAAAGTAGCATATGATTTTCTACTTTTATGCAATTACATATAAAAATATATATAACTATACATTAAATTTTATACATAGGGTGTTCCAAAACCATGCTAGAAAATTATGTGTTTACTTATAAAGTTTCATTGAAACTGAATATTTGTAACTCCTGTACTAAATGCTTCATAAAAAGAAATCATAAAAGTTACTCTTTTATTTATTAAAAATATTTAGAAAATAAAAATTTAAAAAGTAAAAGTTAAAGATTATAAAATTATTGTTATATTGTATTCCATATGGCGAAAAAAATGTGTTCATGTGTTGCATAATTACATTTCACTGGTACTAGTAATCATATAAAGTGCATTGAAGGTAGCCTTAAAAATTATGTGTAATGCTAAAATGTATTATATATAATTCTTATGCAAAAATATGTTTGATTACTGAAATTTAAATGGTCGTGATGAAAATTTAATAACTTCCTTTATTTAATTTAACTGTTTAATATAAGGAATTTATTTATTTCCATATTTAATATGATTTTGGGACACTCTGTAAATAAATAAATATATTTAAGTTGTACAATTATACTACCTTTGTAATTATGAACACTAGGCTATATTTAAAAAATATTCACACAAGATTAAAAGTATTCATGATGATTGATGTATAAATGAAGAAATAAATTTTGTTGTAATAAAACATTAATCTATATAGCTTAAATACACGAGTACTTAAATAATTTTTCTTTGTAAAAAAAGCTGTTTTTTATATTTACACAAGTGCTCGATTTCTACAATAATGCTGTATTATATATTTTATGAATCGCAGCATATCTTATATTTATTTTATACATATATATTTTATTATGATGCACAAGCAAAACCATTATTTTTTTATATAATAAATCTTATTTATTAAAACATTTGACCTATCACAGCAAGTGATCGTACTGCAGATTGCACATTATTTACATGAATATGATGAGCAACTGTATGATGATGCTCATCTACAACCATTTCTCCATACTGAGCTCGACAACGCTTTTGATGTGCAAACAAACTACCACTGTGGCTATAAGCAGCTCCACACGTCTTACATACATATGGTTTTTCACCAGAGTGAGTATAAGTATGTTCTTTCAAAGTACTTAGTCTCTTGAATGCTTTACCACATGTTTTACATAAATAATTTGCCTCTCCAGTGTGCCGAGTCAAGTGTCGTCTGAAAGCTGAACTTACAGCAAATGCTGCACTACATACATGACAAACAAATGGTTTATCACCTGTATGAATTCTAATATGATTTGCTAAACTGGTAGTTGTAGTAAATCCACTATTGCAAGTTTTACACACGTGTGGCTTAATACCAGTATGAGTTCTCATATGATAAGTTAGAGAAGAATTACTCGGATACACTTTACTACAAATGTGACACAAGTATTCTCGTGGAACCTTCTCTTTTGGCTTATGTGTCCTTTGATGAAGAACAAGACGAGCTTGACTAGCACATACCTTTCCACAGATTTCACAAGTAACTGGTTCAGCTTTTGGTTTATGCATTGATACATGACGTCTAAGACCCTTTTTTGTTGCCATGATTTTATCACAATGTTGACATTTATATTCACCAGAATCATCTTCATCACTTTCTTCCTTTTTAATATTTTCATTTTCTTGCAATGTACTTTGTGTAGTGCTTGGGAAAGAATCATCATCAGAATCAAAAAACTTATTATCATCCACTAAATTATCTAATAATCCATGACCATGTTTCTCTGCATGTTTTTTTAATGTATCAGGCCTAAAGAACCACTTTTTACATACAGTACATGAATATTTTTTATCACCATGTACAAGAGTATGTCTTCTTAAATTTTTTAAAGAAGAACAATATTGACTACAAATTTCACATTTGTACAACTCAGGTGCATTTTCAAAATCATAGACTTCATTCACAGTACCATTTTCATCATCTGTATCATCTTCAAATTTCATTTCTTTTTTTGGTTCCTTGTTATCCTTTTGTTCATCTGTACTGATTTGTTTAATCATATTATTCACTTTTTCTGTATGAGATTTTAGATGACGTACAAGACTTTGAGGTTTAGAAAAACATGCATGACACAACTGACATGCAAGAGGTTTTGATGCATGTATTTTTTTGTGATTTTCCATGTTTTCTAATCTATAAAACATTTTTGAACAAATATTACATTTATGTTTTTTTTCATGAACAAGGGAATGTTTTTTTAAGCCTCTCTGTGTGCTATAACACTTTGCACATACTTTGCATTTAAATTTTAATTCTCCAGAATCTTGGCCATCATTACTTGAATCATAATAATTATCATGAATTTCATCTTCACTATAGGTTTTATTAGGCACTGATTTTACTTTTCTACTAGAAGTACGTTTCTGCAAAACTCCTTCTTCCTCTTTAACATTATCATTTAATATATTTTCATCAAAAAATTCTTCATCCTGTTTTTTATCATCTTCTTCTGGAGTTTGGTTAATATCTTGACTTTCTTCTAGTTTATTTTGTATATTTATAGTTTCAGAAATATCATTAGTACTCTCTTGTCTGAGTGATGTCTCATGCATGTTATTCTTTGAGGTACAAGATTCCTTTTCAATTTCTTTAGATCCTTCAAATCCAATAGAACAAATGAAAAGTTTCTCATTTTGCATATCAATCTGGCTAGTGCTTAAGTTAGATTCATCTCTACAGTATGAGTCATTAGCTTGAATATATTCTTGAGAATTTGATGCTACATGCATTTCTTCTTTCACAAAATAGTCCTCTTGATTAATTTGTTCTTTTGACAACAATGTTCTTATCTCAGATTCTGTTTGTGTATATGTATCCTAAAATATTAAAAAATAATTATATTTATTATATCACATATAGAACATTAACATAACATGTTTATATTTACCACAATAGTAGTTTTAGTTGGTTTATTATAATACATCCGTAATTTGGCATCAGAATGTTGACATTGTTGTCTGAATTCATGAGCAACACTTGCTTTATAAATACAAATATCACAAATTAATGAAGGTAAACCATCTTGTTCATGAATCTCTATAGATCCACAGACTTGTATCTTTTGTGGAAGACCCGAGAAATCATTTACTTCTTGATCCGTACAAAAAATAGGTGATAAATTTGTACCCTCTGTAAGACAAACTCTGCATATTCTGTCCACATTGAGTGGTAAATCAAAGTATTCTGTCATTGTTTAATGCAAATAAAAAGCAATTTATCTATAATACAATTCCTGTAAAGAATTCACACAAATATTATATGATAATTTCAATACAAATGTATATGTTTTATGAAAAATTTGTATATCATTTATTATTCTACTTTATATTATTCTTCAATTAGAAAAAAACATTTTATGACATAAACATTGAGTTTTTATAAAACCTAAATTTAAATGTATATAGTGTTGGTTTAAAAATTTTATTTAATGTATAGATAATAATATTGTATTCAATATGTTACTGATAAAAAGGAATACAAATTCATTATAAAGTTACAAAAATTCAAAAACATTGTAACAAAGTACGTGTTGAAATGCGTCAGTATACTTAGTAACGTATATGTAATAAAAAAAAAAAAAAAAGTGGAATATACATACAAGATGTAAACATTTTATTTCAAAAAACTTATTTTTTAAAATAAATGAAAAAAGATTAACATACAAAAATGAGAGGTTCTCAACCTTCGGATCTTTTGTACACCGCGAAAACATGCCACGATGTTGAGACAATGCTTTAGCAGTGATGCCCAGATGAATACATTGGAGCTTCTTTGAAAAATCTGTATTTCTTAAATTTCGTACAATACACAATTCTCATAAAATTTTTACCGTGATTTAAAGAGTAATGTCACGCGTTTCGTTGTTAGTTATATATCATTTGTTTCTACGGTATTATTCTACGAAAAAATCTAACACTTCTCTATTTCTTTGTTCAATGGCTTCCCTATATATTCGTAAAGACGTACTACCAAAGTTGAGAGCAATCTGAAATGAACGCACGAAGTGAGGAGTCTAGAGAACTTAGGGGACTGTTGGATGGGTCAATACAAAGAAAGGCTATATACACATGGACGTATGCCTCGATAATTGGTAGTACTTATTTCATGAAATAGGATGCAACAGTATGACATAAAGTTAAATATAATTTGTAGTAAGCAGTATAATACAATATTTATTGAGAAATATTATACCTTTATAATTTATATTTATAATTAGATTTGAAATAATTTCAATATTTTATGCATCAGTAATGTTAAAAACTGACTGTATATTACAAATTCAATATTAGTCGTAATATGCAAAATACTATGAACGAATTTATATGTTTATGCATTATTAATAAGATAGTTTTTAAACAATAAGTAAGATTATTTTTATTTAATTTTCATTAAATTTAAACAAACGTCTGCTTATTCTAAACTCGACATAAGTATACAATCATTTTAGCTTAATGCATTTTATATTTTTGTATTAAATAACCAATCGAAATAAACTACTTGTAACTAGCATATCTACAATTCTACAAAATTTAGGAATTTTAAGTTTACAAAATTTTATATACGATGAATGAATTGTCGAGTGGTTTGTCTATTTGTGATAATTCTTAGGTTTGATCGTCGTGGGACTTTCTTATCCGCCGATCTGTCAAAAAATGTAAATGTAAGACTGTGATTGAAGTTTAAGGTTTCTAACATACGGTAATGCAATCGATGCAAGTTATCCGATTAAGTCGGAATATTAGACGGATGTAGGAAGAAAGATTTTAAGCGATATTGGAAATATACCCTTTATTTTTTAATGCCATTATGGCTCTACGTAAAGTAAAAGGAAATTTTGAACGTATGTTCGATAAAAATTTGACCGATTTAGTACGAGGAATTAGAAACAATAAAGAAAATGAGGTAAATATGTTATTGCATTTTGTGTATTATTTTAAAACATTTATTACTATGACATAACCTTGTTGGAATTAATAATAAAAAATTATTTTTGATGTAATATTTTATATTGTTGTAGGCAAAATATATTGCACAATGTATAGAAGAAATTAAACAAGAGTTACGACAAGATAATGTTGCAGTCAAAGCAAATGCTGTAGCAAAGCTAACATATGTAAGTTTTATATTTATATAATATATAAGCAATATGTTCTCAATATTATTTATATAATATGTTTGTGTTTATTTAGCTACAAATGTTAGGATATGATATTAGTTGGGCTGGTTTCAATATAATTGAAGTGATGTCGTCTGCAAAATTTACATATAAACGAATTGGATATTTGGCGGCAAGTCAAAGTTTTCATGCAGATACAGAAGTATGATATAGATACAGATATTATTTGATAATTGAAATAAAATTTAAGTTTCAAAGAAATCTGATAAATATTCTATATACTCTACTAAATACAATAAAAGAACATAAATTTCTATTTGCAAAACTATTTTTCTATAACTTTTTGTGGAAAGAAAAAGTACATGAAAAGGATTCATTTTTATGGTGTATATTTATCACATTAATAATTGTTTTGCCAGTGTTATTATATTATGATGGATATTTTATAATTTCAATATATAAAACTAATATTACATGAGTATCTATGAGGTGTGCAAGTAAATAGCATAATTATTTTACAAATTTTATTACAACATGTAATCAAATAGTAAGTAAAGAAGATTTGTCAGGTTTCTAAAGATTATAAATTACTGTAGAATAATTAAATTCATTTTAATGAATGCAAATTGTTTGTATGTTTTATTACAGCTTTTGATGTTAACTACCAATATGATACGTAAAGATTTAAACAGTCAAAATCAATATGATGCTGGTTTGGCTCTGAGTGGTCTTTCCTGCTTTATAAGCTCAGATCTTGCACGTGATTTAGTTAATGACATAATGACATTATTAACATCTACAAAGCCATATTTACGTAAGAAAGCTGTACTTATGATGTACAAAGTTTTCTTGCGGTTTCCAGAGGCCTTACGGCCTGCTTTTCCTAGATTAAAAGAAAAATTGGAGGATCCAGATAGTGGTGTACAAAGTGCTGCTGTTAATGTAGTTTGTGAATTGGCAAGAAAAAATCCCAAGAACTACTTAAGTTTAGCACCAGTGTTTTTCAAACTTATGACAACATCTACCAATAATTGGATGTTAATAAAAATTATTAAACTGGTAAGTGAATACCAGTTTTTAGTTTTATAATAACGAAGTGAAACAGATTAATGGAAATGTAGGCTCATTGTTATAATTAATGAATATTTGTATGTATACATGTATGTATGGATACACATATATTTAACATGAGCCAAATAATATTGGTCTTGTTTCACATGCTCAGTTCTCCACTATAACACTGATTGAGCCGAAAATGGGTCGGCGACTTACTCAACCTCTAATTGACCTGATTTCAAGGTTTTCATATTAGTTGATTATTTTTTGTTACCAATATAGTAAATTATAGATATTAGTTGTAGTATGCATTAGTAGCTTGTGTTTATTTTTTAATATGTATCCATGAATGATTACATTACATGTTTTCAAGTGTAAACTATATTTAGAAATGTTTATGTGCTAAATACCATAATATTTCTTAGATTACAATTATATTTCCAGTTTGGCGCATTGACACCTCTAGAACCTAGGCTTGGCAAAAAATTAATAGAACCCCTTACAAATTTGATACACAGGTATTTCATGTATTTTTGTCTATAAGTAAACCAATACATTTTATTTGCAGGTTTGTTCACTGCTTACAAAATAGTTTAATTCTTTACTGCTATTAATGTGGAAAATTTATTTAGATATTTATTTTCCTTTAATTTTTTATATTTACGTTTTGTTATTAAATAAATTTGAGTATTAGAGGATAAATTATATCACACAATTTATTGTATTTTGCTATTTAAGTTTTTAAATGATTAATTAGTCACATAATTGTTATAAAATATTGTAATTGTGCATAACTTGATATTAATTATGTAATATTACCAATTTTTAGTACATCAGCCATGTCCCTGCTATATGAATGTATAAATACAGTAATAGCTGTATTAATTTCAATTTCATCTGGTATGCCAAATCATTCTGATTCAATACAGTTATGTGTTCAAAAATTGAGGATACTGATAGAAGATTCTGATCAAAATTTAAAATATTTGGGACTGTTAGCAATGTCGAAAATTTTGAAAACTCATCCAAAAAGTGTGCAAGCTCATAAAGATCTTATAATGCAATGCTTGGATGATAAAGATGAAAGTATAAGATTGCGTGCCTTGGATTTACTATATGGTATGGTGTCAAAGAAAAATTTAATGGAAATAGTTAAAAAACTAATGGTTCATATGGACAAAGCTGAAGGCACTGCATATAGAGATGAATTACTCTCAAAAATTATTCAGATTTGTTCACAGAATAATTACCAATTTGTTACTTATTTTGAATGGTAAATAAATCATTATGACTATACTTATTAAAAAACATTTTATTTCTATTTGTATAATATTCATCTACATTTGTAGGTACATATCTGTATTGGTTGAACTTACCCGAATGGAAGGTACTAAACATGGACCATTAGTAGCAACTCAATTACTTGATGTAGCAATTCGTGTACAAGCTATAAGAAAATATGCAGTGCAACAATGTGCCTTATTGCTAGAAAATTCATACCTTTTAACAGGTCAACCACGAGCAACAATGTCTGAAGTTTTATATGCTGCTGCATGGATTTGTGGAGAATTCTCCAGGTATTCTTTTTGATTTATATTAATTTCTTATTAAAGTGTAATTAATATATTGTATTAATATTTTATATTAATAGTGAACTAGAAGATCCTATAGCAACATTACAATCTATGTTGCGGTCACAAGCTTCTAGTTTACCAGGACATATTCAGGCTGTTTATGTTCATAACATTCTAAAACTTGCAACAACAACATTATGTAAGGCTGAGAAAGATGGAGATACAGAGACTATGGAACAGGTATGTAAAATGTGTTATATAATATTTTTATTGTAATTTTTATGGGATAAAAACTTGATTTGTATGTAAATTTTATATCGTATATTTGTATGTCATTATATCATTTTTTATACATATATCATTTATATCAAATAAATTAATTTTTTTTAACTAATGTTAATATAATGTTAATATATTAAATGTTGTATTATTAATATTACTATATAAAATGTTGTATGCTTAATTTAGAATTATTTTAAAATTTTTCTTATATTTTATAGATTTTCACATTGAAAGATAAAATAGCAGCTTTTGTGTGCAGTGGAGACTTAGAAGTTCAAGAAAGGTCTAGTTCTGTATTGGTTTTACTTGAATGTTTGAAAGAAAATCCTGGTTTAGCACAAGAATTAATGGAAACATTTGAAGGAGAGCTTAATCCTGTTGCTCCAAAAGCACAAAGAAAGGTAATAACTATTTATACATGTTTTTGTATAATTTTTTATTACAAATTCTTTTTATTTTTGTAGAAAGATACATTTCATAAAAAAAATCTTATAGTTTCCTGCATTTTTTTCATACGTTTTTTCTTTCATTTATGAATTTATGAATTTATGAATTAGTAATGAAAATGTATTATAAAATTATTCATATATTATCTTGTGTTCATTTAGGTACCAATTCCTGAAGATCTGGATTTAGATTCATGGATCAACGATCCACCATCAGAAAGTTCAGATTCAGAAGACTTAGATATGAATGATATTTTCATTAAAACAGAGAAAATGAACGATTCTTATTCTAAACGAGAATTCAATGAACCATCAGCAGAAGAACTTCAGAAGCGTCGTGAAGCTAGAAAATTAGAACAGCAGAATAATCCACATTACCTAAAAGGCACATTCAAAAATTCCACATCATATCATAATTCATCAAGTATTTACGAGGAGTTTGAAAACATTCCTGTAGCAGAGTTAGAGATACCAGTTTCATTAAAAATAATAAATAATCATAAAAGATATAAAATACATGGCAAGAAAAAGAAGAAATCTAAGAAAAGTGTGTTCAAATTTTGTATGTATGCTCATGATAATTATATAATGTTAAACTGTAAACATAAAAATCTTTAGGTAAGCAGCCTGCTTCAGAAGATGAACAGGATGACATTTATCCTATTCAAATGGTAAATACTGGGGTAGGTGAATTACCACCAGGTGCAGAACTAAGTGATAGTGATGACTATGATCAAGTGGATGTAAATGACCCACATAGAGCTTTAAATATAGATTTAGATCTGCCTTTAAGGGATGACGAAAAGTTACCTGTTTTAGAACATAGAGTTATTGAAAATAATTTGGTTCAAGAAACTAAAGGAAAGAAGAAGGAAAAAGTAATATTTTCTGTTTGTTTAAAAAATTTCTAAATATTAAATACAAATTATTTTTAATAAAGAAATTATTAGTTTAGAATTAAGTATTGTTTTATTACATTTTGTTTAGGGACATAAAAAATCTAAAAAAAAAATTAGGGAAGTTAAAGAAAAACATTATGACAATCAGTTAGAACTTACTGATATGTGGTTGGAAAATAACACCTTAGAAAAAATACACTCACCTGTTGCAAATGAATACACTGAAGTTTTCGGT